CCGAGGAAGCTAGAGTCCTCCTCCCACACCTCCCCCCAGGCCCCTGCAGAGGAAGCATGCAGGCAAATAAGCTGTACTCTCCCCCCAGTGCCCTTTTGGCTCCTGGTACGTCTCAGAAGCTTCTCTCCCAAGAAAAATCAGTCCACAGCAGGTCTGGGAGAAAAAGATAATGTGAGAGCTCATAATGGGTCAGTAATTCAGTAAAAAGCCAGAGAGCTGTTGGCTGGGGAATGTCAGAGACATGGGCGCACAAGCCAGGAAAAAAGCACACTCTGCACCTGCAGGACGCAGTCCTCCAGAGGGAGCCTGGCCTTGGGGAGTTGCCTGGTCCTGTGCTCTATGTGCCAGGAAGGAAAGGTGCTGAGCTTTGAGACTTCCTCGAAATTCTGTCATGAATGTGAGAGGCAGCTGAGACTGAATGGGAAGAAGAAGCAAATTTAAGAAATGTGTGATGGCTTCAGGAAAATCAAAGACACTGTGGAGCCATATGAGAACATCCTGGCACATCACAGACAAGCACATTGAACTCAAAATGCACAAAGACACCCCAGATAGGACATAAATAACTCAAATCAAAGACAACAAATATTGCTAGAACTCCGTCCTAGCCCCTTGAAATTCTACATTCCATTTCTCCAAGAGTCAAAGGCAAGCACAGATCAAGAAGTCAGCAAAGCATGATGAAAGGCTACTTGAAAGTATTTCAGATCCATCTCTGACATTAGTAAGTTCGTGTTTTAAACATATTTCTCCCATAGTCAGCAAATATTCTTTAACCAGTCCAAAAGCCAAGAATAAAATCTGGGTAGAATCAAGAAGGCTGAGAAAAAAAAAAAAAAATGCTCCCAAAAGTCAGCTAGGGAAGACACTGAACTCAATCAGGATTGTGGTAATGTTGTCTCTGGAGGGACTAAGCCCCAAAGGCCTCAGTGTAGAAGGAAACCATGAAAATGTAGAGTTAGACCCAGGTTTGAACTTCTGCATGGTGTCAGTGACAAAAGGCAGTGACTCCTGACCCTAATCCAAAGCCCGTCAGTTCTTAGGCTCAAGTATGGCCCGTTGATGTCAAGTTGCCTGAAGACAGAACATGGGCTTTGTACCTTGTTCCAAACACCGGTTCCATCCGTGGATAACGTGCTTCCCTGTTCCTTCCCTTGCTGCCCATGCCCACACCCTCCTGGAAGGCCTGGAATGGTGAATCAATGAGATGAATATGTATAAGTCCCTTAGCACAATGTTTAGCACATGTTCGTTCTCTCTCACACTTCTAAAACCAGTGTTGGGGACCGTATGTAGGAAAGTCAGATCAAGCTGTTGATATTTAGTGGGAAAAGTATTGGGCTATAATTAGTGACCCAGTCCTCACACCGGCTCATTCCATGAC